CCACGTGAGTGACTAAGCTTGGAGGCAGATCTTTTTGTCTGTTGCACATTAAGATGACTGTAGCCTGTGAGAATCCCTAAGCTGGAGGACCAGCTAAGCTGGACCCAGATTCTGGACCTATAGAAACTGAGATAATAATTGATGCTGTTTCAAGGCACCAAATTTTGAAGTAATTTGTTTCACAGAGATGGATAACTATTTCACCTGCTTATAGAAGGTGGCACCCGTGGTAAAGAACCTGCTTGCCAGTGAAGATACGAGAGATGTGGATTCAATCCCTGGTTTGGGAAACTCCCCTGGAGGAGGGGATGGCAACTTGCTCCAGTATCCTTGCCTGGAGAATCCCATGGACAGAGGAGCCTGGCGGGCTACAGTCCTTGGAGTTGCAAAGAGCTGGACACAACTGAAGTGACTTAACACACACACACGGAAGTGGTAAGGTTTGGAAGTGGGGACAAAGATTGGAAAGAGAATAGGTACATATATTTGTGTCTTTCTGAGTCACCAACCAGATCGAATCTTTATGACAGATATTTTATATAGTTTTTATATAGATAGTATATAAAAACAACATCCTGGCGAGGGTGCTGTGGGTATGTTTTGGACAAAACTTAGGTTATGGAAACTCAGTTATTTGGCTCAGACACATAGCTTAGAAGGTAATAGACACGAGAGAAACTAGAATCTTACTCTGAAGTCTTAGTTCTTTCACCCTAGCCAGTCATAAGAGGCAGTGGTAGGGTTGGGATTAGGGTGGAAATCAGAATCACCTCTAGATCTTTTTTCAAGCTGGTTATGTTACTTTCCTTTCCGATAGTTTGGGCCAGACTATACCACACTGCGGGACTGCACCTTAAGAGCACTGAACTTACACAAGTGCAACCTCATCCTTTGTGTCTTGGACTAATAAGTAGAAAATAAAACATGTACCTTTCAAGTAGGTTCTGATTGAAGGTCCAGTAGTCCTTAGACACCTCTGCAGTGCTGAGTAAGGTGATCACGTGGTTTTAGCATGCTGGTATTGGATGGTTTAAATTATGTTAATAAAGAACAGCATCCAGAATGCCATTATTTGATGGGCTCAAGCTTGTCTGATGTGGCAGATCCTGTCTCACCTACAGCCCAAAATTGGCAAAATGGATTTGGCTAAACAAGGACAAGTTGGGCAGAAGTGGATGCGTGGCGAGTGCAGCTTTCATTCAGTAGTAAGAACAGGATGATGTAGTGATGAAGGAACCCACTTCAGTGCTGCATCTTAGAAACATGTGCGTGGCCCTGGAGATCCCTGTAATTGCTTCTAGAGCTGAGCAAGGCAGCTGCAGAATTGATTAGACTCCAACAGGCTGTGGCCCTGTGTCATCCACTCCTGGACCAGGTCCAGGGGCTCTCCTCCACCTTCAGCCCTGGTCCTGATGAAAGCATCACTGTGACTCTCATTGTTCATGGATCTCCTGTAGATCACAGCCTTGCTTCCATAGCAACGGCCTAACACAGTTGTGCAGGACAGTACAATTAACTGACAAAGACTATAGTTTCTCCTGGACAAGATGACTGTAGCAGCTTTTCCTTACTTCAGGTCCTTCCTGCTACCTCTTTGCATTTTGCAGAGGATTTTCTAGAGCTGCTGTTGCTAAGTCGCTTCAGTCGTGTCCGACTTTGTGCGACCCCATGGAAAGCAGCCCACCAGGCTCTCTGTCCCTGGGATTCTCCAGACAAGAACACTGGAGTGGGTTGCCATTTCCTTCTCCAATGCATGCATGCATGCTAAGTCACTTCAGTCGTGTCTGACTTCATGCGACCCTATGGACAGCAGCCCACCAGGCTCCTCTGTCCACAGGATTCTCTAGGCAAGAATACTGGCGCAGCACTGCCCAATAAGGCAGCCACTGGCCACATAAGACTCTGTAGCATTTGCAATGTGGCTGGTGAGACTGAGGGATTCCATTTTTCATTTAGGATTTAAGTCTTTACTGAATGTCACAATATTGCTTCTGTTTTGTGTTTTCATTCATTGACTGGGAGGCATGTGAGGTCCTAGCTCCTCGACAAGGGATCAAACCTACACCCCCTGCTTTGGAAGGTGAATCCTAACCACTGGGCCATCAAGGAAGATTCCTATTTAGTTTAATGTAAACATTCATTTAAACTGAAATAATCATATGTAGCTGGTGATTAATGTGTTGGTCACACAGCTCTAGAAGCTGTTGTCCTTATGTCATTCTTTTGTTAATTTATTTCTGGGTAATATTTCTAGAACATTTTCTACATGCCAGGCACAGTATATCGAATGCTGTGTGCACTCATCCAATTTTCACAAAACCTGATGAAGTTGATTCTATTATTCATTTTCCAGAGCAGAAACTGGAATTTTAGAGAGCTGAAGTGGCCTGCCCATGTGCCGCTACTGGTAAAGAACCTGTCTGCCAATGCAGGAGGGTTTGACCCCTGGGTCGGGAAGATCCCCTGGAGAAGGGATTGGCAACCCACTCCGGTATTCTTGCCTGGAGAATCCCAGGGGCAGAAGAGCCTGGCTGGCTACAGTCCATAGGGTCGCGGAGTCAGACGCACTCCTCAAATCATTCAGGCAAGAGACAGAATTCAAAATAAAGTTTATCTGGCTCCAGTCCTGTGTCTCCTATATAGATGAATGAGGTTAAATCTGCAGAAATGGAGGATGAAGCAGAATAGACGCAAGATGATTTAAAATATAACTCTTGTTATAATGGGTTATTTCATTTTATTGCTTATTGTAAACACTTTGGCCACAGCAAATACATTAGTTTTTAAATAACTGTAATTCAAAGCTTTCACATCATATACTATTTCCCACCAGGATGTGTCATCTATGAAAATAATCAGCGAACTCCAAAAGTCTATACTGACATTGTGCACATTTACGCTATTGTGACACTAAATACAAATAGTAAAAATGCTCATCTATTGGAGGTCTATGGGTTTGTGATATGCCTTAAGGGAGGCCTTAAAACCACTCAGAGAAGAGAGATGGTGTGGATTGTAATAGCTCCTATGCGAGTAATGTTGGCAGAACATAGGAGGTATGCAGTAAACATTTATTGACAGCAAAGATGATGAGAATTCAATTACTGCTGGACTTTCCCTCTCCATTTTTTCTTAAGGAATATATGGTGCATTGGGAAACATCACTCTGAATGTCACAGAGGCTCTGACACTTTGAATTGTGTAGCTACTGTGTAATTGGGTCTGATCACACTTGCAGAAGAGAGATAAATTAAAGCATATGTACTGTTAAAATTGTGCTAAAATCTCAGTTACTAGGTAGGACAGGCTGGAATGCTTGAATGGTTTCCATCTTCATAAGCAAGAAAATCACAGTGCCTGAAAATCAAGCTAGTCATTCAAAACAAATCTAGCTTTCAGATCTCACTGGCAGTTAGACTGTATTTCAGTTCAGTCAATGTCTTTGAAAGTAAAATATGCTACTTATATGAGTTACTGAGTTTCCTAACTATGATTTTTATTTTAAGACATTGCTTTTGATTGTTTTATTCAGCAAAACTCTTAGCATCATTTTGGGATTTCACTGAATTATGCTGATAATGTTGGATTAAACTTTTTAGATTTAATTGCAAAGTGACACACAAATTTCATGATCTATTCTCAATATTGTGTCAATGTACAACTTTAAATACATGAAAATAGAAATGTTAAGATCACCTGCAGCAATGAATATGGCACATTAGAATTATTTATTAAAAACTTTTACACCTAAAGGTAGGCACTTTATAAAATTTGGGTTTTGGCAAAGGCAACAGTTTGACATCAATATCTTACTTTTCCATTAACTGTGCAACTTTTCAAGAGACTAGATTATTAAAACATTACAAGAGACATAGAAATTTGTCCAAGTTGCATGTGAGTGGAGTTATACAAAACAGAATGCAAGCTTCATTTTTCCCTCTTCTTTTTGTAAACTGCTATATAGCTTCCTGGTCAAGTTCTAAATTTTACTCCCTGATATAAAATCCCATGGGATTCTGGCTTCTCATCTTTTAATCTGAAGTGAAGTATTTGTTGCTTGTGGAACTTGGTATGAATTTTTTTTCACAGTTGGAATTACCATTATTCTCATATACTACATAGAGTCAGATGATTTTTAGGTGGCAATAGCTAGCAGTTAAGAGCTCTTGGCTTCAAGCGGCTGTTGAGTCCTTTGGATTATGTTTTAAGTCTCCAATTATGTAGATTCAACTACCCCTGCTGTTTTCATTCTTGGTGATGTAGAAATTCACTTCACTTCTGTCTAAAACATGAGCAGAGCTTTGGGGGCCCACTGAACCCATCTACCATTTGACTTAGCTCTCCCTTCTCAAACAGGTCTCTACCGGGTAGTCAGCCAGAGTCTGTTAGGAGCCTTGGCGACAGGGAGCTTCACAAAGCAATCTAGTCAGTAAGAAAACCCCAACTGCCCTTTCTTATACTGAAACCCGAGTTCTCTTCCTGCAACTTCCATCTAGTGTTTCCAACAGTGTAAGGCACAGAGTAGGCTTTCAGGCACTTGATCTGCATTTGTGGCTGAACAAAAAGACTGAAGAGTTCTATTTCTGACTCGTAAGGCTACAGAAGATAGTCATTTCCTCATGTGGTCCAGGGTATCCTCGTATCTGACATAAATCTTCTCTTTTTCAGGGTGAATATTGCCATTTCCTTCATCTGTTCCTTAAGTGACACGAATTTCCGATGTTTTGTCTACCCGTTGCTCTTATCTGACTGTGCTTCTGTTGATCAGTAGACCTCTTCAAATGTGGTCCCTGTGAACCCAACATAATACCCCAGATGGGATCGAGCTCTGAGTAGGGTAGAAATCCTGTCTCTTCTCTTAGCCTGGATATTCCACTTGACATATTGTCCAACCCAAAAGGATGTTCCTTAGGGCGATCCTTTCCTGTTTGTTTCTGAGTAGAGGCATTTTATTCTAGGCAAGATTGCTGACTGGCACATGCTCTGTTCCAGGAGAAGGATTACTTCCTCGAATTTCCAGGATATGGAGGGGGTGGAGAACGCTGTGCTGGGGTCGGAGAGTATGGAGGAGGCAAGTCTGCACAGTATTCCATCTCATGGTCATAATTATAGGGGGGTGGTGCCACTGGAAAAAAACAAGACGAGAAATGCATCAGGCATTTAGCAATGATAGAGTGTCCATTATATTTGAGACACTCAGCTGTGTACTCTGGGGGAGGACATAATTTTTAGAAAGGTTCCTATAGTCAAAACTATGTTTTTTTTCAGTCGTCATGTACGGTGATGAGAGTTGGGCTATAAAGAAGGCTGGGAGCCGAAGGATTGATGCTTTTGAACTGTGGTGCTAGAGAAGACTCTTGAGAGTCTCTTGGATGGCAAGGAGATCAAAACAATCAATTCTAAAGGAATTCAACCTTGAATATTCATTGGAAGGACTGAGGCTGAAGTTGAAGCTCCAATACTTTGGCCTGACTCAAAGAGTTGACTCACTGGAAGAGACCCTGATCCTGGGAAAGACTAAAGGCCAAAGGAGAAGAGGGTGGCAGAGGCTATGATGGTTAGACAGCATCACCGACTCAGTAGACATGAATTTGAGCAAACTCTGGGAGATAGTGAAGGACAGGGGAGCTTGGCATGCTGCAGTCCATGAGGTCACAGAGTTGGACACGACAGTGACTGAACAACAACAACAACAACATAATTTTTGCTCTCAATAATTGGTTTTATCAGGCTGAGGACACATATGTATGAAAAGTAAAGTGCTATAAAAAATGGTGCTATCTGAGACAAGTGCTCGGACCTGGTGCACTGGGAAGACCCAGAGGGATCGGGTGGAGAGGCAGGTGGGAGGGGGGATCGATATGGGGAATACATGTAAATCCATGGCTAATTCATGTCAATGTATGACAAAACCACTACAATATTGTGAAGTAATTAGCCTCCAACTAATAAAAATAAATGAAAAAAAATGGTGCTATCGACCAAAGTATTAGAATTGGTGGCTTAAGGCAAATTTCTTGTAAAGATCATCTTGAAGTGACAGATAGAGAAAGGACTAAAGGATAATTCAAGATGAATAAAAGTTCTGAAAGAGGAAAAAACTTTTATTCAAAGCAAAAACTACACAGAAAAGATAAATGGGAAAAGATACTGAGGAATCTAATTGTATCAACATCGTGGTGGGCTTGGACTCTCACAAAAGGTGTGTGTGATATGCAGTTTTTAGAGATCTTTTTGCTTTAGGAAGATGACTCTGTCAGCATTATGGATTCAGGTGGACCAAACAAAAGGTGAGATGATGTAGTAGCATACGTGAGGGATTATAAAAGACTCATGGAAATTGGTGGTGGGGATTATTAGGAGCTCTTGAGCATTTGAGAGCTTCAGTGATGACAGGGTGTTTGGAAAAGAGGTAGAGAGCAAGAAGGTATGGAGGTATTGGGTGCCTGGTACTGGGCTCCTGTAACTTGGAGGGTCATGGAGTCATTATAGAAATAAGAAACAAACAAAAGGGAAGACAAACAGGTTTGCAAATGAGGATGGAGAAGCTTTTTCAAATCTCATTAGAAAAAGTTTCTTTAATTTATTTACTGTAATACACATCAGTGTGTTTTAAAATCATGTTTAATATAACAAAATCATATTTGTTATGATTATATATGGACATCTATTTTGTCATGCTCTCCACCCCATCTACAGGGTTGGAAAAGAGGTACTCCTTGAGTACTCCATGTCTTCAAGAACCAAATCACTTGGAAACATCTGAGCAGCCCTTCTGGTGATTTGCCAGTAGTTTTGATTTATCATCAGGATCACAATTCTAGTTAGAAATTGACATGTCTTAATTGCTTCTTGTGAATGTAACCTAAACCACAGACTAATGTTATAATAATATGAATAAACAGCTAAGCTTTCACTTTTAGAAAGGCAGAGAACAAGCAACATTTCAACAAACCTCAACAGGTCTTTTCAATTGTACTCTTACTGATAAGACTATGATAGCATTCTGATCAATATGCATGTATTAATAAACATAGGACTTCACCCTATATGCAAACACAAGCTGTTTTCTTCAGCATCTCTTTATTTTGTATTTGTGTTTTAAATTTTTAAAATTAGTTTCTATTGCAATATAGTTGATTTACAATGTTGTGTTACTTTCTGCTGCACAGCAAAGTGAATCAGTTATACACATCTTGTGTTCAGTGGCTCAGTCATGTCCGATTCTTTGCTTCTGAATGAACTGTAGCCCATCAGACTCCTCTGTTCATGAGGGTTTCCAGGCAAGAAGCCTGGAGTGGGTTGCCATTTCCTCTTCCAGGGGATCTTCCTGATCCGAGGATTGAACCTGCATCTCCTGCATTGGCAGGCAGGTTCTTTACCACTGAGCCAGCTGGGAAGCCCTAGTTATCCATATACTCACTTCTTTTAAAGATTCTTTTCCCATCTACATCTCTTTAACTTGGCTCGCTTTACCAGGAGCTTGGTGATTCGAACCATTTACTGACCTACCTATGCTTAGGAAAGAATTGAGACCCCTGACACAGAAAAAGATGGAGACACAAAACTGAGTGGGCTGTCCTCTGAGACACATCCTGGTAAGGAAAGACTCTGAAACTCTCTTGTGGGTTGAGCAGGCCAGGGTTCCCAGCAGAGGACACAGTTCTGTGTGGAGAAGGCTGCTTTAGGCCCTCAGAGGCTGGGCTAGTCCAAGCTTTGTTTTCTACAACAGAATGGAGTAATTCCCATTGAGTCTAAACACACCTTCCCTCTGCATATGCCCACTCCTTTGTTTCATTATATCCAGGAGGACTGAGACAGAGAGAAGTATAATAAAATTCCTCCAAGCCAAGCAATGCACCCTCCACGTAAAACAGAAAGTTGCAGCTGGATTCCCATTGAACTGTGTCATGTAAGTATGTGGTTCTATGTTGTTTATATGCTGAAGCTTTTCCCTGCCTCCCACCTGAGGGGCACACACCAGATGAATCTACAGATTGACTCTGCATCCTTCTTGGTCATGAAGCCATGGCATGCCTTTATGCTTCGGTAACAAAGCATTTATATTTTGCCATCTGCATAAACACTGCTGGAGGACATTTCAGTGAGATTCCCTCTGGTTTATACAGCTTCATGTTGAACATGAAAATCTAAGATCTGAAGCCATGTTCTTTCATTCAAATAGGTTTTGAATTTTGATAAAGTGATAATATAATGCTGAAGAATGGTATTTTGAAGATTTTGAAGACCATATCCATCATGAAATAAACATGGCACATCTTTTACAGTACCGCCTATGGGAAGGCATTGTGAAATAATACTGGTGTAACTATGAACTGTGCTATCTTTCTTTCTTACAGATAAAAAGGTTTCACAGGAGATAAACTTTTCAGGGTATCAATTTTAGAATTCCTGATTAACTCTAATAGGTCTTTTTTTTCTTCTTAAAGTCAAATCATCTTTAAAAGATACATGGATGTAGCTGGAAATGCACTTTTGATATTTTTTCATAACCAATAATTCCAATTCTCTAAACAGTGAAAATATGCCACTTATCATGTACGTCAGTATAGTCTAGAATATCACAAAATTCAGGGATGCTAAGAAAATCATATCAGAAAGTTAATTTTTTTTAAAAAATCCACCCAGGACAACATCTTTAAAGCAAATGTAAAGAAAGATGCATGGTGTTATCAAAATTGTACAACATTATTTTAGAAAATTGGAAATAGAGTAAAATCATCCATGATTTTGTCACCAAAATTTAATAAACAATCCACCTTCCAATGCAGAAGATGCAGGAGACACAGGTTTGATACCTGGGTTGGGAAGATTCCCTGGAGAAGGAAATGGCAACCCACTCCAGTATTCTTGCCTGGAAAATCCCATGGGCAGAGGAGCCTGGTGGGGTACAGTCCATGGCATCGCAAAGAGTTGGACAGGACTGAGCGACCGAGCATGTGTCTTTATATACTCTCTTTTAGTCCTTGGTATATTTGTATAAAAATAGTGTTATGCCTTTTCACTTTGTATTGTAAATTAGTCTTTTTCATTATGTTATATATTTTTCATTAACTTTATTGGCAACACTTCACATTATTCCACTGACCATTTACTTATTTTTTTATTAGCAATTTTTTTATTATTATAAATACTGGAGTGAAAATATCTTCTCACACATAGACTTTTTATTACTTTAAATTCATTTTTTAAAATGAAATTCCAGGAATCAACTAACTGGCTCTGATTTAATATTTTAGCAATTTAATAGTGAAAATTTTTCATTATTAAAATACCCTCTAATTTTATATTTATTTGATAGTTATACATCTTATTTATTATTTATAATTCATATTGTGTGATTTTCTTTGCTTGGACTGATAATTTAAACACTGGGATCTCTAATAGAATTAAGATATAATTAAGATTGTCGTTGTTCAGTTGCTCAGTCGTGTCTAACTCTTTGCGACTCCATGGACTGCAGCACATCAGACTTCCCTGTCCTTCACCATCTCCCAGAGTTTGCTCGAACTCAAGTCTATTGAGTTGGTGATGCCATCCAAATATCACCAACTCAATGATAACAAGATATAAACATGTGAACAAAGTTATTTATCTTTTCTATACCTTTCTTAAAATAAGTGTTTGTCAAATGGTTAAGTTATATTATTTTTACCTTGTTGACTTACTGAAGTTTAAAATATATCTAACAAAATATATGGTTCTTCATCTTTCTTTTATATTGTTTCCAAGCTTAAAAATTTATCTTTTCAGATATTTTTTTCATAACCAATCTATTTCTGAATTTCCCCATGTTAATTAATATATTTGACGCTTCCTTACTTCCATTATTTCATGTATTTTGTATCAGTGCTCATTTTTTCTATTTAAAATTTTGATTAAATCAAATCATTGAAAAGTGGCTTCTTAATCCTTGCTTTTCACATTGTTTTATTATCTTTTCTATAGAGTTTGTGGGCTTCCCTGGTAGCTCAGTTGGTAAAGAATCCACCTGCAATTCAGGAGACCCTGGTTCAATTCCTCAGTCGGGAAGAACTGCCAGAGAAGGGATAGAATACCCAAGAATATTCTTGGGCTTCCCTTGTGTGGCTCAGCTGGTAAAGA